CCTGCCGTCCCCCGTGGGCCAGCCCCAGGCACCACAGGCACCCCGGGAGGTCAAGCAGCGGCCACCACAGGGACTCTCTCTGTTTCTTTTCTCTCTCTCCTTTTTTTCTTTCTTTCTTTCTTTCTTTTTTTTTTTTTAAAGCTTTCTGCCATAGGGTGTGTGCACTCACCAGAGAGAGACAGAGAAAGTTAAGAGATCACCCCTTGAGAGAATGGCCATGCCACCATCCCCTCTTCTCCATTCTCCTCTTGGGATTTTGGGTACACACGTACATGCACCTGGCATGATTTCCAAGCTGTAGGCCCCGGGGCTTGAACCATTGTCAGTTATGTGGGAATGCAGCTCTCTAATCACCACACAACCTGCTGGTTCCCATTTCTTTATTTTTTTAAGTTTGTTTATGTATTTCTTTCATGAGAGACAGAGATGCCCATGCAGTGACCCAGCACCAGTCTCCACCAGCCCAGATCACAAGCCCATGTGTGCACACCTGGCACGTCAGGGAGGTCCTGGGACACAAACCCAGGTCCTTTCCTGCGTGGGTGCAGAAGCATGACCACTGCGCCACAGCGTGGCCACTCTGCCCTCTTCCAAGAATTCCCAGAGAAGAATGCAGAGGGGCGGCAGCCTTGGAAAATTCCCAGGAATCCCGAACGTAAAGGAGGACTGCAGCACGGATGCTCTTCTAAAACAGACTATGCCACCAGAGGGTCCTGGGCACCACAGACCTCCATCTTCCCCCTCTTCCCTCACTCCTACCTGAAACCAAAAACGCTGCTTCTAGATGCGGGGGTCTGTTGGCACAGCACAAAGTCTGTGAGGACGCGCTCCCAAATCCCTAAGCCACACGGGCTGTCGGCTCTGCCTGAGAACACACTGCAGTTCACACACTCACAGACCCCAAAGCATTAATGGGCAGTTACAGCAGCCTTTTAACAACTCAGGCAACTGAGCCTGCTTCTTCAGGGCTCTGTGTCTGGACCTTTCATCTTTTTTCTTTTGAAGTTTATTTATCTCTTCCATAAGAGACAAGGAGAAAGAGACAGCACCCCAACAGTGTCTTGACACCGTGGTCCATCCCCAGCCTTCAGGCAGCTCTGAATCAGAGGCCAGCATACGCCTGATGTGCTCGGTGAGGCCTCAGGACTCGAACCAGGAACGGTCCATGTGGGTCACCCTCACAGAGCGCCACGTTTTTACCACTACACTACCCTCCACCCGGGGCTTTTCCATTTGTAATGGATCTTTGTAAGCCAGACTGAAATAACTTGGAGCTGCATGGAGACACACGGGAGGTGTCCCCCCACTGTCCCGGGCTATCTTTCTTTTGAAATAGATGCTCCCAAAATAGAGCCAGGGACCATATGGGAAGCCTGGAGCTGACAGGTTCAGCGTTGGAAAACCAAAAGACGGTGTCCCAAGCGCCCTCTCCCAAAAGACAGTAAGGAGAACCTTCACACCTTTCCCTTTACAAAGGAACTGTCAGGTCATCAGAGGTGAAACAAACCCCTGTGAAGCTCATTGGAATCTGACCCCCCAAATCGAGAGCATTTCATTCTGATCTTTGCCTTTCTCCTGGTTTTAAATGAATGCACACAGCAGGAAGAGTCTTTGAATTTTTTCGGATCCATTGAAACCCTAAATAGGCTGCCGTGCATAGACCACTGATTAGGAAGATGCACTCCCCCAGATGTTCATGGAAGACAGTCCGTGAGGAATTAAAAAAGGGATAAAAAAAATCTTTTTTTTATAAAGACTTTACTTTCTTTGCATTTTACTGAACACTAAGTTATGGAGCTCTGAGGGACTTGGTGGCGTGGCACCTGCTCAAGCACTGACTAAAGCTCAGGAAAATGCTAAGATGCTGCTGATGGCCGAGCAAAGAACTGACGCCGTGGGACTAAACGGCCTCGCAAGCAGACGCATCACATCAATGTCCTAGCCGTTTCTTTGAATATTATCAAGAAACTTCTGTTGTAAATGAGGCAAAAAGCAATGTTAAAATAGATTAAAAAAATAAAAGTTTTAAAAATAAATGACTAGTGGTTCTTTGACCCCGCCTTGTGGAGTAGTCGTTGGCAAAGTAAACTGCAGTGCTGGAAGCCACATGGCTAACCAAGGGTTCATATCCTCGAATCGGTCTGAAAACACGCCAGCTCTGTGAGCACACGCCTAAGGCCCTGAGGAGCTGGAGAGCTGGGAAAGATGATCACAACACCTTCTGTCAGGACTCCTTCTCTCGGTCTCTTATGCACACATATGCACTCACTCTCGAACCTGACAGGTAGGTAGGTAGGTAGACAAATAGCTAGTGGTTCTTTAAAAATTAAAAATTAGGGACCAGTGGTTAAGATGCTGGATTCCCACCTGGCCAACCATGGTTCACCCAGACCCGGTGGCTTGAAAATCAAGCCAGCACATGTGTGCACATGCCCAAAATGGAGGAAAATGAAGAGGGATTGCAGTGTGGCCATCCCCTGCCCTCCCCAGGAGGGAGAGGGAATTTGCTCTCTGTCTCCCTCCAGTGAGTGCACAGGCCCTTGGCAAAAACCCCTTTAAAAATTAGAAATTAAATTAGATTATGATCCAGCAATTTCACTTCTAGATATAGACCCATAAGGATTGAAAGGCAGGGTTTCGAAGACACTTGCACACCTATGTTCACAGCAGCATTATCCACCATCAGCACAAGGTGGAAGCATCTCAGGTATCTATCGAGAGACAAATGAATATGCAAAATGTGGTATAAGAGGTCTTCAAAAAGTTCACGGAAAAAATATTCTATTTTTTGCACCAAAATATTCATATTTGAATTCCATTTGTCTATGAACTTTTTGAAGTCCCTTCGTACAATGGAACATTATTCAGCCTTAAAAAGGAAGGAAATTCTGATCCACAATACAACATGGATGAACTCGAGTCAACACACCGAGTCAAACAAGCTGGTGGCAAACAGATGAGGAATAAATGGTGTCACTAACAGGAGGGCCCTGCAGAAGTCACAGTCCCAGAGAGAGGGCAGAGGGGTGGTGGCCACAGGCTGGGGCAGGGGCACAGAGGAGACTTAGTGTGTAACGGGTCAGAGTTTCAGTTTGCCCACAATCCAGAGCTTGAGGATAAATGGTGAGGATGGTTGTGCAACATTACAAATGTCCAGAATACCACTGCGCTGGGCACCCAAAAACTGCCCAAATGGTCGATTTTAGATCAGGTGTACTTTTTTAATTTTGTTGCAGGGCTCATGGCCTTTAGCCGGTCGTGTGTTTCTGTAACCACAGCAAAATCATCCGGCCAGGACAGCACTTTATCTGCATCTTGTTTTTTCCGAAGGACACCTTTGAAACGGTTCACCTCATAACCACACTGCAGTTCCCAGTCACGGACCACAAGCCCAGAATTCAGTCAAGCTCAAGTTCAGACATCACAAACCATGGTTCACCCAGACCCGGTGGCTTGAAAATCAAGCCAGCACATGTGTGCACATGCCCAAAATGGAGGAAAATGAAGAGGGATTGCAGTGTGGCCATCCCCTGCCCTCCCCAGGAGGGAGAGGGAATTTGCTCTCTGTCTCCCTCCAGTGAGTGCACAGGCCCTTGGCAAAAACCCCTTTAAAAATTAGAAATTAAATTAGATTATGATCCAGCAATTTCACTTCTAGATATAGACCCATAAGGATTGAAAGGCAGGGTTTCGAAGACACTTGCACACCTATGTTCACAGCAGCATTATCCACCATCAGCACAAGGTGGAAGCATCTCAGGTATCTATCGAGAGACAAATGAATATGCAAAATGTGGTATAAGAGGTCTTCAAAAAGTTCACGGAAAAAATATTCTATTTTTTGCACCAAAATATTCATATTTGAATTCCATTTGTCTATGAACTTTTTGAAGTCCCTTCGTACAATGGAACATTATTCAGCCTTAAAAAGGAAGGAAATTCTGATCCACAATACAACATGGATGAACTCGAGTCAACACACCGAGTCAAACAAGCTGGTGGCAAACAGATGAGGAATAAATGGTGTCACTAACAGGAGGGCCCTGCAGAAGTCACAGTCCCAGAGAGGGCAGAGGGGTGGTGGCCACAGGCTGGGGCAGGGGCACAGAGGAGACTTAGTGTGTAACGGGTCAGAGTTTCAGTTTGCCCACAATCCAGAGCTTGAGGATAAATGGTGAGGATGGTTGTGCAACATTACAAATGTCCAGAATACCACTGCGCTGGGCACCCAAAAACTGCCCAAATGGTCGATTTTAGATCAGGTGTACTTTTTTAATTTTGTTGCAGGGCTCATGGCCTTTAGCCGGTCGTGTGTTTCTGTAACCACAGCAAAATCATCCGGCCAGGACAGCACTTTATCTGCATCTTGTTTTTTCCGAAGGACACCTTTGAAACGGTTCACCTCATAACCACACTGCAGTTCCCAGTCACGGACCACAAGCCCAGAATTCAGTCAAGCTCAAGTTCAGACATCACAGTCCAACAGCTACCTCACGAGTCTCCAAGAATAGTACCAATGTGCAGCAAGTAAATAACGAAGAACACTGGCCTCCACTATCAGTAAGGCATAGTTCTGATGACAAATTAGTAACCAAAACAGGCTCAGCTGTCCTAAAGACTTTTTCTGCAAAGAAATTTAATAGGCAAAGACAGAATGTCTTAATGTTCACTAATAAAGCACAATACTTAACGGATTTCTATCACTAGACTACCCACATTACATTTTCTTGAAGTCATTTTTATGAAAATCAATTTGAAATAATATGTGAAAAAGAAGTGACATAGGCCCCAAATCAAAGTCTACTTACATAGGAAATAAGCCATAATCACCTCTCATTACCGTATCTCCTTGACCATGAACAATGTAGGAAAATTTGGATTCTGCCACAGGAGAAATTAATCAGGCTAGCAGCACTACAGCCAATAAACACGGACGTGAGTGAGGCTGATCGTGAGCAGTGGGTCCGTGCAGGCGAGGGACACTGGAAGGAATCCCTTACCGCTTGGTGATCTGGCTCGGCTCCTGCAGATCTGGGTCCAGGTCAAAGACCTCGTTATCCAGCAGCCGCCGCAGTGTCACATCTGCCAGCTGCTCCATGATCTTGAACACCTCGTCCAGGTTGAGGAAGGTGGAGAAGTCGCGTTCCTTACTCTGCGTGGTGATCCGAATGGTCTCCGTCAGGAAGACGTTGGACGTTCTTTCCAGTTTCTGGATATCAACCCATGGGATGACAAGTTTAACTGCAAGAGAAAAGGGACAAAGCCATACTATACACTCGGCAAGCAAAGTCCAAGGCTCTCCTTCACCAGAAATGCAAATGCCTTTTAAAGCACAGCAGGAAAGAAGAGCTTGCTGGCTGTTGGTTAGAGCCCAGCCCAAGTTCCAGGGGCTTTCCTAAAGACCTAAGTAAAAGCTCCCTAGCTACTGACTACCACACACTTTGAAGGGACATTATACTGAAATACCCAGTTAACAACATGTAACTTTCTCAAGGATATTTAAACTTAAAACAGTTATGCAAAAGGTTTGAATCCATACAAATTCTGGTTTCAAAAACAGTACTCCTGGTGTAAGCTATGGAGAAAAAAAGAAGTGTAAAAGAGGATGATTCATGATCTCGTTTAGAAATGGGACTTAACATTTAGACTGTGTGAAATATGGTTGTCGGAGTCTTGGAAGACAGAGTACCAGTGGTTTTTATCAAACTCTAATACAGTACAAACAGTGTATTTTAAAAGTCAGTGTTCTATTCTCAGAAATATTTCTACCTTTCTTTAAGAGAAAGAGAATGAGAAAAAGAGGGGCACCCCCAATGGGGTCTTCATGCCATGATCCACACCCAGCCTCAGTCAGCCAGGATCAGAGGCACAGACATGCACACAACATGCACCGGACACCTCAGACCCCAGGACACAAGCCCAGGACTGTCTGCAGTACCGTGACATATTGCATTACCTCTGCACCAACGCTCTGATGTAGCAGGCACCAGCATGCTAGTGAGGACAAAAGGGAGAACAGGAAGCCTTACATCTGACTGGCTGGCTTTTTAATCAAAGAATTTTTGGTTTTGGGCCAGCAGATGGCATAGTGGTAACATCACTGGACTCCCACATGGCCAACCATGGTTCAACGCCCAGATTTGGCAGCTTGAAACTCATGCTGGGCACGTGTGCATGCATGCCCAAGATTCTACGTGGAGAATAAAAGAGAAGGGATTGTGGTATGGCCATTCCCCTTCGGAGGTCTTTCCTCCCTCTCGCTGCCTCTGTTTCCATCTCTCTGGCAAGCGCATACACCCTAAGGCAAAAATCTCTTAAAAGAAAGAAAAAGAGTTTTTGTTATGGTGTGGTGGTTAAAGCGGCTGGATCCCACATGGCTGATTTCAGTGCAAGATCCAAACCTGGAAACTCCCAAATCACACTGGGTTTGTATGCATGCCCAATATCCCGGGAGAATGGAGGAGTAAGGATTGCAGTGTGGCCATTCCCCCTGGGGAATGATTTCTCACTTTCCATCTCATTGTCTCTCTCTCTCTCTGTCTGTCTTTTTCCAGTGAACGTATGAACTTTACAGCAAAAAACTAAAAAAAAAAAGAATACAATGATTTCTGGAGACAAAATTGTCGTAGAAAAGCTGACTGGACATTTCAAACTTGGCCAAGATAGAAAAAAAAAGACTTTCCAGGTTAACAACAATCTGAAACCATTACTGAGCATGGGGCCCTTAATTAGGAGGATGATGTAATATGTAGATTTCAGTTACATTTTCTAGGTTTTCCAATAAGATCTGATATAGAGTCAGTAAAATGAATTTCATCTAATAAGGCATTTCTACCATTTAAATTTCCAAGAAAGAGAATCACTCCTGAACCCCTCATATTAATCTACCCCTCAGGGCTCTACCTGACAGGCGGCACCCAGGTGATCACAGGTGCCAGCAGGACTGTGCATTTCCTGCTGTGTGACGGCCCTGAATATACACCTTCCTCCCTCCTTGGTCACAGCAGCTGCTGTCTCCCTGTGTTCTGTTGAGACTGCACGGTCTATTTCTGAGAATGTCTGGCGGGGTTCAAGGGTCCTGTAAGCTACACATGCTCCTCCCACAGTGATACGGCCCTGAACACAAACCTCCCTGCTTGGAGCGGCCCAACTGCCCTCATGTGCTGTCTGTCTGGGACCAGCACAGCAGGCTTTGAGCCTGTGTAAGAGGAAGGTGCTGCAGAGCTCAGGGCACTAAGTGGCTACTGTCTGTGCCACGAGTGCCCCACCCACAGCTCAGGCTCCAGCCATCTGTGGCCCCTTTAGCAATTGCAGCCTTAGTCTGAAATCAGAGCAGGAGGACAGGGTGGTCCCATCAAGGGGAGGGGACATGATCACATGATGATTCATAATGTAAGTGAATAATAAATCATCCTAATCTTTACTCCCTCCTTACATTTGTCAATTCCAATTAATCTGTGTAAGTGACAGAAAGGAAATGTTGACTGTTTCTTGAGCTTTATCAGGTTTTTTTTTAATCTAAACGGATATTGACTAAGAGTCAGACAATGGTATTTTTCCATTTTCCCAACTTCTTACTTTTCATATTTACCTGGACCCAGCAGCTTGAAAATCATACCGTGTGTGTGTGTGTGTGTGTGTGTGTGTGTGTGTGTCCGAAATCCCCTGAAAGGAGAATGCAGGAGAAGGGATTGTGACAAGGCCACCCCGGGAGGGTGATTTCTCACTTTCCTTTTCTCTGTATCTCTGTCTCTCTCTCTGGTTAGTGCATACTCCTTATGGCAAAAAGGAAAGAAAGAAGGAAGGAAGGAAGGAAGGAAGGAAGGAAGGAAGGAAGGAAGGAAGGAAGGAAGGGAGGAAGGAAGGGAGGAAGGAAAGAAGGAAGGAAGGAAGGAAGAAAGAAGAAAGAAGAAAGGAAGAAAGAAGAAAGAAAGGAAGAAAGAAAGAGGAAGAAAAGAGAGAAAGAAAGAAATGTAGGAACAAATGGGGCAAAATAGCTGCTTTCATGCCTTTTTACTGCTTAGTGTTCTAAAAATCGGAGTCTTTGGATCAAAAGAAATTGCCACTTTATGTCAAATATAAAGAGAAAGCACAGAACTCTCCAGTTGAAGTGGTGGGGGAGGGAAGACAGGAGCCTCTTCCCTGGGAGCCCCCCTCCACAAAGCACATCAGGGAACTTTAGGGCTCCTTGGAAACCTAGTCTGAAAATCGCTGGACTGGAGGTTCTCCAAGACATTCTGGTCAAATAAGGGAGTGAGATGCGTTGGACGTGCTCCCAAAGACCTGCCTTTCTCCAGGGTCCAGACGCCAGCAACTCCCCTCTTCACATCCAATCCACATGCCAAGTTTGTAGGTTTCCCCACAAGGGG